ACCCACAATGTATGACCTCGGTAGTTGTTATTCCTCACTCTGGACGTTATTCAGTGAGTTTTCCTTAACTATAGCATACATATATTCATATTCACATTAAAGTAACATGCAACTACATACATGTGATGTAATAAACTATTAGTTTACTTTTCTTAGTCTTGGAATGTTCAAAGATTAATAAGGGACTGTCAGCACTTGACTTTATGAGCTTTATGTACCCAGCTGTTAGAGATAAACTGGAGAGATGACAATTAGTCTAGGCATGATAGGGTGTCTGATCATCTTACCAGTTCAGTAATCTCGGAAGAGAAGAGATGTATGTTAGCTTAGCCAGAAATTATGCTCGTGTGTGTGTGTGTGTGTGTGTGTGTGTGTGTGTGAATAAGCCCCAGAAAGTGGTAATTGAAATGGCTCTATGATAAAACAATGAGACAGATCCACATATGCTCAGATTCATCAAACAGACTATACATTTTAACTTTCCAAGGAACCATTTAAAGTCTCAAATATAGCCTTACAGCTTGCAGCAACTACTCAACCATGGCAAGATTAATTCAGAATTTCCCCCCCCCCCCAGGATGGAAACCATTTTCATTCTGTGCTGATCACAGAATAGAGCTGTGAATTATCTGTGCCTAGCTCATTAATATAGCTGATGAATTATCTGTGCCTTACTCAAGTATGATGAGCTCCATTTAAGGGAGACTCAGATCAATAAGATTTAACTTTAGTTAATGTTCGAAAGAGAGTATTTCCCAACATTCAACATAGCTTGGTAATAGTCATAACATCTATCTTTCTTCAAATCCACTTGAGAATAATGCACTGTAAATATTCTCCACTGCAAAAAGTAGGGACTGAAGAGAAAATCATCACACCGCTAGTAAAAATTAGTGTAATAAGAATTTAAAAAATATACTCTAAGAAACACTTACATAGTATTGAACACACTCCAAGATCTTTTTTTAAGAGCAGTATTTTTAGCAAAATGCTGAAAAGGTATGGCATTGTAAAACATTCACTCTGTAAGCACTTACACTTAGGTGCTTTATCATTGAGGACGTTTATGTTAGTTGCATTCTTTGGATTGCTATGAGAGAAGACCCTTGTCTATAATTCTAAACACTGGTTATTTGTTTAAAGCTAAACTCCACCAGCTCTCTGTGGTGCTGGCAGTGCATTACCTAGTGCGACTCTGGCTGCAGAAGCATCATAGTTGATCCAAAAAGACACCCAGGACAGAATTGTAATCAGTGTGGAAGGCATGTAGGTCTGCAAAATGAAGTAACCGATGTTTCTCTTTAGACGGAAACTTAGTGATAGTCGTGGATATGACCCTGAGTTGAAAAAAATAAGAGAAAGAATCAGATCATCACTTGGTTGAAAACATCTTCTTTCGTTCGCAGTGCCCTAGTTTATTTTGGAGGAAACATCCTCACCAGTTGTGAACTCCACCTTCTTGGACACCATCTTGTAGTCGACAATTGAAAACTGAGGAAGCTCAATTTTATTTACTCCAGTTACTGCTCCCTCTCCTCCATTCCAGTAAAACTCGATGTCATCAGTAGTATAGCCATCTGAAACCAAGAATACAGCATAGTTAAATAGAGTCTAGTTGGTCTATAGTAGTCGGCAAACTTTGACTCGGCAAACCGTGGCTTGCGAGCCACACGCGGCTCTTTGGCCCCTTGAGTGCGGCTCTTCCACAAAATAGCGACTTCTGTGCATGGGCCACGAAGTTTCAATCGCACTGTATGCCCGCACGTGGTATTTTGTGGAAGAGCCACACTCAAAGGGGCCAAAGAGCCGCATGTGGCTCGCGAGCTGCGGTTTGCCGACCACGGGTCTAGGAGTTCATTTGAAGACTGGGAGCTGCTGAAGACACAATTCCCAGCAAGTGACGGTAAGATGACTGTGCTTTAAATCAGGATTCTAAGTAGAGTTGCAGTGAAATGCAAATTTCCCCCAATTCTCATCATTCTACAGCTTAGGCTCATCAGAGGGGACTGAGTGAACTGTGGCCGAGATTCTAGTAGAGATGAGCCATGCCTAAATGCTGCTCTTTTTATAGAATTGAATGGACATTTGTGTGATTATGTGACTGTGTGATAATGGAAGCCCTAGTGCAGTGATGGTGAACCTATGACACGTGTGTCAACTCTGATAATATAAGTCTTTGTTTTACTAGGTTGCAAATATCAAGAAATTTCTATATGTGACACGGCACCAGAGTTAAGTTAGGGTTTTTCAAAATGCTGACACGCCGAGCTCAAAAGGTTCGCCATCACTGCCCTAGTGGAAGGGGTGGGCCCGGTCGGGAAGGCATAGCCTTAGGAACCAGCAGCTGGGACCAGCCTGTGTTTCTATCCACTTAACTCAGATCCACTGAGTCTGTTCCCTGCCGGGATGAAGGAAATGAGCTTTCAGGATCATTTGGACCTTTCCCTCTTCATAGCCATAGAAGTGCCTTTCTATCACAGAATCAGATCAGTTAAAAAATTCACAGTCCATGAGGTAGAAACAAACCAATTGGCCTGGAAGAAGAAGTGCTGGTGCCAGGCCTGCGGGAAGCTTCTCTCATGGACCCTTTTTGTCAGATGAAAAATGCCCCAGCATCATCCATTTAGGAAGTTGGCATGAGAAATAAGCTTTTTCAAAAAGATGGATGGAATCAACATAGAGTTTAGTTTTAAAAAATCCTTTAAGAAGCCAAGACAATATATCCAAAATTTCAAGTTGTCTTCTTGTCCGACTTGATCTGAGTGTGGATTTTTCACTAGCCTGTCTCATACCCTTTGCTCACCTGTATGTGGGCCTGGGTGGTCTTTCATTCAGGCAGGTATTTGGCAGGCTCCTCACCTTGCACAAATGAATAGCTCACCTATTCTGAGCTAAACTGAACACGAGTTTTCTTTTAGTTGACAACATAGAATATTTGAATTACAAGTATTTGTTAGGGAGAAAGTTCTTAAACCCAGTATCTAGCAACTCTCTGTGGAGAGAAACATTATTTACAGATCAAAGCCTAAATACCAACCTTTGCCCTCATCTCAATTTGGGGCTGGATTCATTCACCTATAGTTTTTGACCTCAGTATGCCTGTCATTAGCTTGATGATGATCCTGGGTGTCCCCTCTCTAGTAGGCAGCACACACACAGGGCTGATAGAACACAACTTCTAAATGCTTCCCAGGAGAGGCACCTGCTTGCTTACATCCCCTTCCTGAGCGCTCTAACGTGGGCTTTGCTGACTCTGCTGTGCTGCCATGGACAACTCTGGACTCAACCTCTTGTCTTCCTAGACAGCCATCAGGACTCCTGCTGGAGCATACAACACCACCACCTTTAAACTGGCAAGGCAAATGAATGGAAAATATATTCGACATTCCAGTACACATATATTGAGTGCCTACTATGTGTCAAGCACTATTCTAGGTACTAAGCATGTAGAGTGTCTAGGAATAGACCTAGTTCTGCTTTCCAGGATCTCATGATCTAACAGCAGTCTCAGCAAATTGTCGACCTGAGGGAATTAGAGATGGCTTTGCAGAGGGTTTGGCCAGATGGCTAGAGCAGACCTGCCGGCAGAGAGATTACTTATTACATAGAGTGAATAACATAAAGGAAGCTGATGTCAGTGTCAAACTGATTTACTTCATAAAGTTTATTCAGTAAGCAATTTAATTTTAGCAGGAAAACGGAAACTTGCAGGGCAAATTTGAATACATACAAACACTGTAACATCCTTAAAGATTTCAGTATGCAAAGGTAAAACTGAGCTGAGAAGAATAAAATGATTAGGTAGCCATGACAGAGTGTAGGAAGAAGTGTGGACAGATACCCAAGGCAACTAGTCACAGCCCTTCTTGCCCACAATTGCCTTTTATTCTTAGACAATGTGTTCGCCTTGAACAAAGCACAGAACCATGCTGAATTTTACTTGCTTTATCTGTCTTGCACCCACCAGGCTCTGAGTTCCTTGATCAGGGACTGGTTCTCATTCTTTTCTATACCTCAGTGTCTATGTACCACGCTCCTAGCATATGGTGGTATCCAATAAAAGTATGTAGAATATTGCATTCTTGCTTCTCATCATCAAGACTCCCGGCTTTGTGTTACCAACCTTAACTTTACAACTAGGCACTAACCTATGTACATGTCTCTACTCATTCAACGAGTAGATATTTATTGAGTACTGACTAAGTGTCAGATGGTGGAAATGTCCTGGGAGTATAAAACTGGCCTGGCTCTTGTCCTCTTGGAGCCTGCAAAAAGTATCTTAAATGTTATACATTTCAAAAAATTCCTTCCATGGCAGGTATCTGTCTGGACTGGCTTCCATTAGCATGTTCTCATCTCCTTTAGGAAAGATAAAAACTACAGATTCCGCCCTAACCGGTTTGGCTCAGTGGATAGAGCATCAGCCTGCGGACTCAAGGGTCCCAGGTTCGATTCCAGTCAAGGGCATGTACCTTGGTTGCGGGCAAATATCCAGTAGGGAGTGTGCAGGAGGCAGCTGATCGATGTTTCTCTCTCATCGATGTTTCTAACTCTCTATTCCTCTCCCTTCCTCTCTGTAAAAAAAATCAATAAAATATATTAAAAAAAACACACAAAAAAAACCCCACTACAGATTCCCTTGCAACTATGGTTATGGATATGATTTAGGTTCTCTGGATCATACAGAGTTAAATGATGTCAGAGGTGGTGTTGGAGGCACTCATTTGTTGGTGCAACTCCTACAGTATAAGTATCTCTGGACCCAGGAATTCTGGTTTTAGCTTTGGTGGTCCTCAAGTCAACACCAGCTTCCTGATTGTGATGGAGCTATCTGTAGGACAGTCAGCACTGTGGTCTGGGAGTCATTTCCAGTGGCCCTGCCTGGAGCCTAGTACTTTAGTTCTTTAATTTTGTAAGCACTACTTCTCTGTATTAAATCTCTTTCTGCTTAAGTTGCCAAATGGACTTTCTTTATCTGCAACAGAACTGCATTCTCTCTTCTAGGGAAGAATTATTTGCTCCAGGCTTGGGATTACCAGGGCTTTACATTAAAACCTCTGTTGTGGGTTGTGCCAGCTATTCATTTGGTGTTTCTGAATCTCATATCTTGCTTTCTACATGTTGCTCTGTACTGTTGGGTCTAGGCTCCCTGTCTCTCCAGCTTCATGTTAGGTGCTGTCTTTCAGAAGAACTGGCTGGAGATTAGAAGGTGGAGGGGAGGGAAGGCTCTTGGTTCTGGCTCTGGAAGTGGTGGTGCTGCAGTTGCTTGTGATTGCTGCCAGGGCGGTGGGGTGATTTCAGACTCTCACAGCTGAAGAAGGGGCAGCACCTCTTTTTGCAAGTTCATAGACATCTAGAACAGCATCTCTCACAGGTACACAGCAGATTCAGGCCATGGGCTCCAGGACAGGGCTATTAGCAGCTTCTGCCCTTCGCACTCTTTTCTCCTCCTTCCTTTTGCTTTTCCAGCCTTTCCCATGTTGTAACCAATTCTCTCAATTAAATTCCCTTTTGAAAAACCTTGAATGGTTTCTGCTTTCCTGATGAGATCTTGTCAAATATACAGTATATCGTAAATGCAAATATTTTATCTGTGTATATAACTGTGTTTACCTCTGCCTTTGTCATCTCTATTGTACTAGTATATTATTATGATTCTACTAGAGGCCTGGTGCACAAATTCGTGCACAGGTGGGGTCCCTTGTCCTGGCTGGCGATCAGGGCAATTAGGGCCGCAGGAGGTTGGCCGGGGGGGAGGGGTCATGAGAGGTTCCGATTAGGGCCAGTGGGGCCAGCTGGTCGAAGATATGGACCATGGGAGGTTGGCCAGCTGTGGGAGGTTGGCTGTGGGAGCACACTGACCACCAGGGGGCAGCTCCTGCATTGAGTGTCTGCCCCCTGGTGGTCAGTGCGCATCACAGTGACCGGTCAACAGGTTGGTCATTGGGTTGTTCTGTTGCTTAGGCTTTTACATATATATATAGATATTATATTATAAAGTTTTGAAAGCAAGGACTTTTTTTATTCATTTAAAAAAATTCCTGATGTCTAGAACAGATTTTGTCTATAGTAAGTACCCCATGCATATTTTTGAATCAATGAATTAGTGAATACTCTTTGCTGCTTAGAATTCGAACTATTGTCCCAAACTACTAACCTGATATAGGTAACTTATTTGGTAGAGTTCATGGGCTAAATTTATTCCTTGATAAAGATGATTCTGCTCACAGGGGGCTTATAGGTAGATCTAGACGCCAACAAAATGGAAAACCTGCTCGTTAGTTTTAGGCTGAGTAACTAAGTGATAAATTACAACCTCAAGCTGGTTTTTGAGATATAGAATCCTAGGGGAGAAACGTAAGTGATAATTAGAGTTGAGAGTCCAGAGATGGCTTGCAGTTTGGAGGTGAGAGGGGTGAAGGCAGTGGGTGGGCAAAACGGCACTCCTCAATGTCTCCCACCTGTGAAGAGTGACAGAACACCTCAAGGCCATGGACAATCAAAAAGCTGGGATATGGCTATCAATAAATCAATGCAGATTTTAATAGTATTCAGCAGTTTATATGGTCAGTGGTCT